GGATTTTAATGAAACTTTTAAAGAGAACTATGCAGAAACCCAATTAGTTTTTGGTAAATATTTATGCTTATTAATCACCTAATTAACATAATTAATTAACACTAATATCTCAATTACTGATCATCACATTTGAATAAAATTTGGTACATAAATGCTCTAGGACAATAGACAGGCCTGATTAATTTTGGGTTAAAATTTGTTCATATTAATTCTCTAATTAGCATAATAATTCATAATTTTTTTGTTCTGTTCTGTTCATATTAGTTACCTGATGTACATAATTAGTTTTCAGCTTTTCTATCAATATCCCATGTACAAGTAATTTTTAATTAATTTTTAATGTGTCTTCAATACTCTCAGCACACGAGAGTTCTTTCTAAGCTTTCTTTGATATCCCATGATGCTTCATTTGCTATATTTTCTGACTTTAGGTAAATGCATATTTTAATCATATAAATTGCAAATTTGGCAATGGAGTTAAACAAATTCTCACAAGGCACTTTACATATTACATTGCAAGCCCTTTATTTATGAATACTTGATTGATTACATAGTTGTTATACTTTCTAGTGTATAAGATAGGAGTGAAACATTCCATGTGAAATTGGGTACATTAATAATACATTGGTGATTTTTTTTTTTAAATGAACAGAGTTATATTGTTACATTTTGATTTCTATTATATATTTATTCATACGGGCATTTATGTTGAACTTTTTATGTCAATATAAAAGTGGATTTATACCCATTTTAATGGTGTTAACATGTACGAAAAAAACATTAATTCCCTTATATTTAATTTCACTATTTTGGTTTTTTAAATTTCTTGTGTTAAAAATGTTTTTTTTTTTATTCTATTTTAACATTAATTTGATCATAGAGCTAAAACTAATGCACCTGTTGCAGTTGATGCCTAGGGTTACTCAACAGATAAACTCTGCAGTATGAGGTTTTTTTGAATTAGGAAAACTTTAAAGTATGCTTAAAGACAAATAGGGGTGTGCAGTTGACTGAATGCATACTTTGCAATATTATTATACATGATCCTAAGCTTCTAAGTTTTGAGAAATGAGATCTAAAAAATGACAGCGATTGTACAAAATTGTACAAGAATCTTGTCTTGGGTTTCCTATTATGCGCAACATGTTACAATTTTAGATTCATGGCACCTGATCGTATATTGCATCATCGTACTGACAGGAAATGCGATTCGTCTCTGTAACTTGCATGTTGTATTTACAATAAACTATTTACATACACGTTATTCATATACTTGAGTAATAATGTGCTATTATTGACAGATCGAATACAGCTTTACTTTTTAAGATGCCTGGCCATGATTGAATGAGCCGTTAGTTATGTGTGGGAGGGTTTTTTAGTTTTACAACAAAAGTGTTTATCAGTTGTAAACTTTAATATTTGTTGTTCCTTCTGAAATATGTAACATTTATCTGATTGTCTTGTAGTGAATTGATTAAGATCTGATAGATCTTTTTTTTTATGTTTATGCTAGATATTTGTCTAGTTACTTTGAAAAGTGGATTTTTCTTTTTTTAAACAAAGCTGTAATGCATTCAGGGTATTTTATGTGATTAATTAAAATATTAGTTGCTCTAAATTCTTGTGTAAGGTGTAGTGTGTGTAACCATCTTGTGTTTTACAGTGCACTGCATTGTTATTAATATTAACCATGTATCCACAATCGACAATGCATTGATTTCAATAATGGTCAGAGAAATACATAAGTAAATTTCAAAATCAAACAAAATCGAAATGCAAGTTTCTTGTACATTGCATCGTCCACTGCATGGTGTTGTTCCGTTCAGACATCCCTTCCTCTCCTGAAGCACAGTCACTTGGGGGCTGAAAATCAATTTTTATATACGTATAGTGGATGATTTCTTTTTTAAAAATTAGTATTTATTGATTTTCAGCCCCCAAGTGACTGTGTCCTGAAGTGCTGCTGGAGCATTCATCTTGAAAATTCAAGATGGTACACTGTCACGAATAACTGTTCACAAAAAACAACGCTTCGGGATGAATATGGAGCAGAAAACACCCACAAAGCGTAAAACCACCTTAAGATTTCGGCATATGCGCTACCGTATTCACCTCTCGGACAACCAATCGATTCATAGATTGGTTGTCTGAGCCTATATCTATGCTGTCATATGGTGTATAGGTTGTTGTAGCATGTTAAGTAACTTTTAGAGAACATCTGAGTCGCATAATAAATTTAATTTGTTTTCCACAGCTGCTCCCTTAATGATATAATAAATCGGACTAGCAGTTGAACCAAACAGTATGAAATCCCCACTGTTCTCACTCGTCGAGGGCGCACTCCAAGCACATCAATGGGAGTGGGGCGGTCGATTCGTCACATGGTAGCCTTTCTTATAAATTCCATCTCGAATTTTCAAAGTATAATGTTTCAGCCAAGGAATAAAATACAACACCAATGTTAGTTTGGGGATGAAGAGAACAAATTTAAAATGAAAAGTTAAGTTTTAATAAATGTAGTTAATCTTCCAAATGGACATTGAATACATATGAATGATGTTTTGAGCGCTTGGTCCCAGCAAAGCGTTCGCGCAAACCTCGTTAACCCGTTCTAATGGTTTAGACCGGGTCTTAAAGCGTGGTACTCGACGCGCTGGGCATGTGCGAGATATATGGGTCTTATATAAACAAAGATCGGTGAGATGGCGACTTTGACTGTTGCACAGATCAACGAGTACGGACTGACACGTTTCCAAGCTGTAATTAGGCAATTTTCATGTGATTGGAAGGTATCGAAGGAGTCACTGTGGGTAATCAGTGCAAGTCGCGCCCAGGTTAAACCTCATACTTGTGATTTCCATTTGAAGAACGCATTGGATTGTGGGGAAAATCAATGTTTATCAACACAAATGTCGCACATGCGCAGCGCGACGACTACCACGCTTTAAAAAAGGGTCAGGTTAGCTCGTACTCCTGCTTCGTGCCCACACAATACGCTTGATAAATGCGTACTTACTGTTCCTTAGCCCGTGGTAAGCGTTTGCATACGTTTTCTTAGCACGAGCCACAGTCCCTCTGCGCACGGACTAACGTTTTTGACCTAATAGTCCATGCTACTAGGAAGTTGTGGGCGAACGAAATTGTGTCTTAAGCTTTTAAAATGCTCTGTTTTTGTGTTATGTAAACATTTTAACATCTCCCCTGTCACAAGCCACGTCGATTATTATTCTGATCTCCCCTTCAAACATACCTTATTCAGAAACTAAAGAAGGTTCGGATAACATTTGTGAAATATTTTTGTTTTCGTATTTCGGCGTACTTTGACCTGTTTCATAGATCTTTTAGACAAAATTTTCTTTTATAAAAATGTATAATTCTTATTATATTATACCCCAATCCGGTGTTGAGGGACTGTGATTATACCAAACATGCCTGTACAGATAATTCTATATACCTCGTGCTGTTTGCTTGCATCGCAGTTCTTTTTAGTCAAGCCTACCCACGTGCAAATATAATGAAGTGTACATATTGATATTTTTTAACGATTTTAATGATTCTATATGTGTATATTCGCACTAGAAATTATTTATAGTCCATTAAAACTGAACCTGTTATTAGAGTAACATGTTGGTTCATGAATAAATACATTTCAGAGGCGAACTATTCCTCTTGCTGAGAAAAATGAATAGAAAATAGAACGGATTATCTCCGGGCGATTTAGGGTATGGTAACACCCACAGACAATTTATGGGAATAAACGCAGCTACGACGGCTCTAATAAATAAAATAAGTGAATATGTTATATTCTAACAAAAGGATCAACTTGAAATTACTATAAGTATCGTTGTGATTGTATTAGCCTGGCAAGGTCGCGTGAGTTTCGCTCTTCGCGGTGCTCTAAAACCCAACATAGGGTCTGAGGTTGTTCAGTCGGTGAGGGCGACACTCACGCCTACATGTCGGTCTATGGTTGTATGAGGCAGTTATAAAGCATGTACATATGTATACCTAAAAACAACAACTAACAGATTTCCAGAGGCACAAATTTGGATAAACTGGTGCAAGTATTCCTAAAACTTGAAGTCAACTGAACTGACCAGTTGCTTAGGTTATTCAGGCACATTTAGACATTTCTATGTCATATAGATTTCCTTGGGTCAGGTTTACGCGATATGGGGTAATTATTTTAGCTCTTTTAGAAAATGTTTAGCATTTTAGTTTTGAACTTCCGGAATGCCCATTAATGCAGCAACCTTCATTTCCTAGATCTAGTTTGTACGTTTCTTTGATTTCCAAATTCCATACCAGAAAAAATGTTGATTAAGATCTAGTCATGACTAGATAAATGACTATTGAAAACAAATTGACCAATCATATAACACGTTAACGGGTGTAGGGCAATAGATCGACCAGTATATTAAATTAAAGAAAAACCTACAAAGACTTATGGGTAATAGAGTGAAGCGCGGGGGTCACTCAGGGTGAATACATTTTATAAATATTTTATGAATTTGCATTAAAAAACACATTCATGCTTTCATGGGTTAACTGTACACCCCTCTCCATATATCCAGGAGTCATAAAATATTGATACTCGTGAACAATTAAATAATTACTCATAAGTAGGACGTGAAATTTATGAGGCGTGATTTTTTTATATATATATAAAATAGTTTATAAAAAAAATTAAAATATTTTGTATATGAAATACATAAATGACTATTAAAAACAAATTGACCAATCATATAACACGTTAACATGGAAATAGATCGGCCGATATATTTAAGGAAACCTACAAAGACTCATGGGTTATATACGTCACCAAATGGCTTCGAGTGAAGCGTGGGTCTCTCAGGGCGAATAAATTTTATAAATATTTTCAAAATTTTCAACAACAAAAAATTCATGCCTTCAATTGTTATGATCAAAGATCAGAATTCTATAATTATTCAAAAAATTAAGAACAAGATTATTTCAAAACATCGTTCTAATAAATACTAAAACAATAATAGATTAAAAAATATATATATCATCAGAGGTACATTAAGTAATGTACCTCTGATATCATATAAATTAAAAATATAACACACCAACTGCCTCATTTGTGTTTCTATTTATAGTAATGTTTTTGTCCATTGCTTATTTGTGTATATCTCTTTACACTTTTGAAAACAAAGACGTTTGATATGGTAACCATGGAGTAACTGTTTACTCAATTAAATCAGTTTCCACCATAATATTAGATTACACACATACGCAAACATAAACTGCATGGAAGATTGCATTAGTCTTCAGCCATAGCTTGGCTATTTTGTTTTAATTGTAAACTTTTATGAAATATTTATAATATATATGTTGGACTTTGTGCAAGCTCTGTATTGTGTAGGCCCAGGTCAAATACGAGTATCCTGTAACGCTTCGTGCCTTCGGTCTCGCGTGACTTTCGTGTTCCCGTTTGTAAGATCACCTGAGGAATCGGGAACAACGGAACAACATGGCTGCAGAAGGCGATAACGATTATTTCGCCCCCTACAGGAAAGCAAATTTTTCGCAGGCGAGTGGAATGAGAGAATGTTTTGATCACTTCGACTCAGATGGGTAAGCATTTCGTTGATATTACGATACGCTTGGTTATAACCGTTTCTAATGGATGTGCGTTTGTTATTTTCGTCGAGTTTTCGAACCGACAGGCGACACTGCATTCGGCATTTGGTTGCATGTACTGGCAGTAAATCAAATCTTATTGATGTATACAGGTGATAAGGCATTTTACCCGTCTTACTGTCACTATTTTCCACCGTAAAATAATGGCTCTCCACCCCAAATCTTGTACCTGGCAGTTATCTTCTCCGTCTGTCACTGTGACAGTGTGATGAATGTACAGTGTAAACAAACCCATGCCAATGCAATATTGATAATGATATGCGATTACGTATCTGCCTGGTGCTTTTCCCTGGTTTCTAGGCTGCAGGCAGGGTATGTTTTAGCGACTGGGGGTATTACTCTTGACCCCCATATTCCAGTCGTCAAAACAGGACCTGGAGCCATGACCCGTATATCGACTCGACACATAATTATTGTTCGGTTTGTTTGTTTGTGATGCAAATTGGAGTTACGTCACCAGGCACAGCACGTACAATTATGACAAGTTTTAAAACATATGATTTTATCCATAAAATTCCAGTGACAATCGCTCATCACACCAACACTAGTACTGGTAGTAAAATGCATTGCATGTAAATCCTATGGGGTCAGGGTCATTGTTTGCATTGTATTCAGGTACAACTGAATACATCAATTGTACACAGAATGACTGGAAAAAATAAAACATGTTTATTTTTGCCTTCTTGCCCATAAAGTAAATGTAAGGGTCAGGTAGATGAGGGACCTTTGTCTGTCTGTGGCGATGTTGTTGTTTTCAATTTCATTCATGATTTATTATCAACAATGAAATAATCTTTTCTTCAAACTTTTTTATGTTGACATTTACTGTGAATTACTTAAGTATGTGGAAATCTAGCATGATGGTAATGATATTGAGTGTGGCAGTATAATTGTTAAGTACATACAATAAATAGATTAACAATTATTTTAATCCTTTCACGATTATATTATCAATCAGTCTAAAATCTTGTGTGAAAAGGTCATAAGGGACAACGTCAAAAGTTCAATGTAGGATAAAAACTTAATTCCTTTAGTTTTTTTCCCAAACCCCCCTACCCCCCACTGAAACTTAATTGATAAATATTGACCATGGCGTCAGAATACATTCACCATTAAATTCAAATTGATAATCCGACAGTAGTATGGCGTAGCAGTTGGTTGTCGAGTGGGTGTAAAAAGGCTTTACACTCGGACCAAACCATTTTCTCGTCTTGGATGTTTTTTTCTTCATTTTCTGTTATTTTTGTCCATGATTGGATAGAGAAAAAAAACGAATTACAAATACTCCAAGATTTTTTTGACTTCATTAAAAAATAAAATCGTTTTTGTAGGATAGAAACTTTTTGAGGTCAAAACCCCCCACCCCCAAACTAAAGCAAATAAGTTTTTTATCCGACATCGATCTTTTGACGTCGTCTCTAAACTAGTGAATTAAATTGTATTCAAAATTGTGTCTCATAACTCTGGCTGTCTCTGAGGTTAACATTATAATATTATACTGTATTATGTGTTTAATTTTCACTGCTAGAAATGTTTTCAATTTCAGAATTGTATAGCATTTGTGGAAGACAAAATTTTGCAAATGTCACTGAGACTCCATTTTGTGGGACCCAGAGAAATTTTCTCTGCTATAAATTCACAAGCTATAAATTCTGATTTGCGTAATTTATGAAAATGCAATTCTTGCAAAATTAAAACAATATACAGGATTTATTTAATATACTTGAACTTTAGCCTCTGCATACCTATAGTTGTTTTTCTTAACAGTCTCAAGTTACTCTCTCACTCTGACATTATTGGTAATTAACATTTAGCTTTGTATGTAAATTAAATTTCAGCCCTGAAGTGTGCCTAAATTAATTGCAGTGACCTACTCTTGAAATAAGCAGCGAACAGTACTCTGTAGTGCTCATAGAAATCTACATTTGCAAATACTGTAATCTTAGCATATACGTCCATCTTCCCACATGGAGATTTTGGGTTCAACCCCCATGGTTGACTGCACTCTCAGTAGGGGGATGTAAAATTGTCAGTCTTGTGTACTGTTTCTATCCTCAGTGCCTATAAAAGATCCAGTTGTTCCTGTCGCAGAGAGTAGTGGTTTCCATAGGGTCAACTGACGCATTAAAAGCTGCAACCTGCTTGGGCCGTCTTATAATGAGGCAACTTTTAGTTCCGCTGTTGACTTTGATTTCAATGATGTATGTGTTTAGAATTTATTTGTATATGTTGAGCAACCTTGTGAATTGCTATAGTCTGAGTGTGCTAGGGTCAAAATACTGTTTTTATAAGATCACAACAAGTAAAAAAAAAAAATTCTAAAATAGTTTACTTGAACACATTCATATCGCCCAGAA